GAGGACCAAAACTGACATCATTAGAAATAAAAGCAGAATTATATGAACCACTAAATAAATACACTTAAAATGCACCAATTAAATTAAAAAAGGAGATTTTTATCTCCTGTTTTATATTTTAATTGACTTTCATATTTATTTTCCCAGGTTAGTTCCAACAAATTAGTCTCTATATTTGAAAACATAGTTCAAATTTTACTGTTTTTTATATTTATTAATTGTTTTTCCTTTTACTTGTACATGCATTTGTGTGTCTTGAATGTTTATACTTAATTATTTTTTTCTAACAAGTCTTTTTATTTCTATGTGTTGCATGCTTGTGCTGCTTCAGTTTAGCTAAAAGTTTAAAGTTTAGTTTAAAACAAAGGCAAGGAGGAAAACTTTACCTGTGCATTTATTTTTAACTAAACTTTAAACTTTAAGCTAAACTGAAGCAGCACAAGCAATCAACACATAGAAATAAAAAGACTTGTTGGACAAAATTATAAAAATAATTCAATTTAAGCATTCAAGAGACACAAATGCATCTACAAGTAAAAGTAAGTAAGTAAGTAAGTAAAGTTTTATCTATAAAGCGCCTTTCACAGAAATATATTCACAAGGTGTTGTACAATTAGAAACAGTATAAAAATGGTGAAAAGAATAAAATGAAACAGAAAAACATAATTACACATAAGCAACAAAAATTGAACATCAAATCAGGAATTCATTTCTAAAATTGTAAATCAAACACAAGGTCAATGCAGGTCAAAATATACAGTAATACACAAAAACATGAATGCGGCAGAGAAAAAGGAAAAATTATGTAAAATATGTATAATTTATTGGAACTAAGCTGGAAAAATAAATATGAAGGTCAATTAAATTATAAAACATGAGGTAAAGTTCTCCGTTTTAATTTATTTGGTGCATTTTAAATGTATTTATTTATTTAAGGGTTCATTTATCTATTTCTGCTTTTATTTCTAGTTATGTCAGTTTCGGTCCTCCATACTGCAGAACTTGTGACTGAATCAGGTGTGGTGGAGCAGGGAAAAATGTAAAACATGTAGGGCTGCGGCCCTCGAAGACCATGATTACCCACCCCGGTCTACATGAACATCCAATAATTACTTCCTGAGAGTTTAATAAAAAAATGGTTTCAGATGTTCATAAAATACTGTATGTTTGCAAAAAACACAAAGAAAAAAAACATTTTTGCCTGACTTTCAAAGGTGGAATAATAATAATAATTCAGTTTTATTTTTTATTTTTGGGGATGAGTGTGTTTTATTGAAATGATCCGCTCTTGTTGGCCAACTAAAGCAGTTTTCCTTACACACACAAGATTGTCCTTCAGAGAACAAAACGTTTTTATGTTCCACATAAAAGCAGCTAATTTATGAAACCATCAAGTCTTGACTGAAGAACCAAAAGGTTTAAGCTGTCTGTTTTTTTTATTATTCTCAGAGTAATAAACTTGTGCTTTATAGCAGCAAACACTTTATTAGTAATATACAAACTGAGTCATAATGTGAGAGGAAACATACACATATAGATTATATCATTTTATAAAAAAATTATATTAAAAACCAAAACAGAACTTTTTCAAACTGAGGTGATGAGGAATTCAAATTGTACGTTTTTATTTGTGGATTCAAATGTTTACATTTTATACACAACACTTTTTAAAGAAACTTTTTTTTTAATTTTTGGTGCAAAGAACAGTTTTCTGATTGGTTTCCATTTTGGATGTTTACCAGAACCATTGCTCGCTGCTGAACCCTGAACAGATTGTACTGATACATAATGGACCAGCTGAGTTCTGGAGCTCAAGGCCAGTCGCARCACTTGCAGGAGTCGTAGAAGATGAGGCCAGGCTGGCAGTATTGAAGGTAGGTGTTTCCTTGGAAGCACTGGAAGTAGGTGGTCTTATCAGCCGTGTTCTCATACAGTCCATCAGGACGGCCAAAACAAAAGTTTGCATTGGGATCTCTGGTGGTGGTGGGACCTGGGGTGGTGGTGGGCTTTGGAACAAACCCTACACACAAGAACAATATGGCATGCTCAGAGGCTGAAMGAACCTTTAAAACTCTCAATCAACAAGATATTCCAGAGAGCAGAGCTGAGAATATTTACCCATTGACGTCCTGAGGTGGTTGATCAGAGGATAGGCTCCATCTGAGCAGAAGTACCCACTAAAGTCATCCATGTCCAGAGTCCACACGTGAGCTCCACCCAGATGGTTTCTGGTCAGCCACTGGACCTATAATTCACCCCCGTTAATAACAGCAYGACTGACAGGTCTAAAGGGTCCACGGTGAATGGAGAAACACAATCAGATAGATCTCCTACCTTTGAGGAAAAGCTGCGTTTGTCRTCGTAGCCCACCCAGGAACTGCCAAAGGTGGCATATGGAACCTCCTGCTCTGGGATCCATGCGGTTGTTGCACTGTGGATGAAGTCACAGACCTGGTAACACAAACACGAGTTAGAACAAAACATTCTGTTTGGGTTTTCAAACATGAAAATTCTTCAGTTGGATATCAAAAATGCACTTTAATGTTCAATATCTCCAAATCAAACAGCACTTCTTCTGTTCTTAAAACATTTTTATCACATTATTTCAACATTAGAGGGATCTGTGACCTTCAGTACAATGGTAAGTGTTTTATAATGAAGCTGTACCTCATAGTAGGCCCAGAAACCTGCAGTGCGAGTGTAGGGTCCAGCATCTGCAGGTCCGTTGGCTGGAGCTCCGAGGCCATTGGCTGATGTGGTCAGGTGGTAGGTTCGGCCGTATGTAGTGAAACCCATWAGCACCTTCTCAGCTGGGGCTCCCAGAGCCAGCCAGTAGGACACAGTAGAGTTCTGAGTAAAGTATGTGAGCAATTTATTAATATACATCATTTTAAACATTTCTATCTCTAAACTTACTCAGATCTAAAAAGGAATACGGGCACTTTATTCAGTATGTTCRTTTCTACATCAGATGAAACTAACTGGAAACATATAAAGCTCTGAGATCTATTTTTAAAAAGTGTTGCACAGTTTGGATATGTTGCTTTGTTTCTTACAATGTTGTAATGCAGATGTGTCCCAGAGTCAATAGCACTGCGGTACAGTGGGCTGTGGTGTCCAGTTCTGGWTTCCCAATGTCCATGGAAGTCATAGGTCATCACATTCAGGAAATCAAGGTGACTAAAGAGACARAAGCAACATTGKAAGGTCAGTGAAGGTCAAATTCTGTCAAACTTGGAAGAAGAGGAGGTTTAGTAGTTGTTAGATGTATGATCAGAACTGTGCTGGTTCTGCTGTCCTCCACTCAGCACCATTAGTCTCCCTATTAGCTCATATAGAAAGACATATTTTCATTACATTTCAGAGGTTGGTGAGTGCTGTATGGTTACTTGTGTTGCATAGAAACTGTTTTTCCACTACCACACCMGATCAGACCTTCTTAAAGTCCACCACAGAGACCAGAAACCAGTCTGTCTCAAACAGCAGGGAAGCAAAGTGTAAAAATCAATCCTAAAATAAAACTCACGGTGTGATCTTGGTGACTTCGTACGCTCTGTCAACGGTTGACATGATTCCAGCAACATTGGCCGACAGCAGCAGCTTTGTCCTCTTGTTGTCTTTGGCGTCATCCTCGAAGGCTTTGTTCATCTCCTGCAGACATTTTATTACATTACTACTGGAGTTCCAGGCTGGGAGGGAAGATCTGTAATAACTGAGCCAATGTTGGGACTGTGTTCGTTTAGTCATTCAAGTTTTGTTTTTTATAGTGTTTATGGGGAATTGAATAAAAAGAGGTAACAGTAATGAGGGACATGCTCACCGCCACCAGCAGAGTGAACCTCTCCTTGTCCTGTACTGGGCTGCCATTGTGTCCAGGATACTGCCAGTCCAGGTTAATACCGTCAAAGTCATGAGTACGCAGAAAACTGATTGCTGAAGAGATGAAAGCTGCACGACTTTCGGGTTTCATGACCAYGGCAATGAATCTGAGGAAAGTAAAGTGTTGTGAGAATCCAGTGTTTTGGAAATGTTTCGGACTAATAAAATAAACTGTGACAAACTTACGGGCTCACTCCATTAACTGTGCCTCCAACTGACAGCAGAGTTTTCAGTGCTGGGTTGCTTCACCGCAGAGAAATATGGGAAATATTATTATTTTTATTACATTTATTTTCTTTTTTTGAGGTTTAAAAAATGGCTTTGGTTTAAAGTTAGACTAATAAAATAAACTGTGACAAACTTACGGGCTCACTCCATTAACTGTGCCTCCAACTGACAGCAGAGTTTTCAGTGCTGGGTTGCTTCACCGCAGAGAAATATGGGAAATATTATCATTTTTATTACATTTATTTTCTTTTTTTGAGGTTTAAAAAATGGCTTTGGTTTAAAGTTAAATCAATAAAAACTGAGGCGTTGAYGAAAATCAAAACTCACTAGTTCTTCAGTTTGTTCAGGCCGTTGTAGAGCTCAATATCGTTCCACTCCACGGTGGTGATCTGGTTGAAGCTGTTGATGGTGGCCAGAGAGTAGATGACATGRGTGCACAGGAAGGGGTCAATGTTGTCAGGGGTGAATTTGGCAGTGGCGGGTCTGTACTGGGCCCAGTTGGTCATGTGGCACACCAGCTTGCTGGATGAAGCTGAGGACAAGCAGAGAAACAAATTTAGTGTTTATTCTGAAAAAACAAAAACACCACAATGTGGTAAAAAAAAGTCTGACGATTTCTGACATATCCTTACCAACATGCAGGACAAGCAGAATGCCCACAGCTGCAACTGACAAAAAGGAAAATTGAGAAAATGAGAAAACGTGAAAACAGTCATAGGAAAGAGGTTTTGTTAAACTCTTCATTAGGCACATTTTCACTTGGTCTGTACCCAAACCCTTCCTGAACCAAGCCTAAAGCACAAAGTCTGGCCTCAACTGTCAGAGAATCACTTTTTTGTCAATTGTTTGATCTTTTTTTAATCCAAAACGTCCAACTGAGAATTAAAATACGAAAAATAACAGCATTTAAATTGTTTAGCTTTTCTGAATCTGTTAATGTGCGTGTGACGCACAGCTAAATTAATGAATAAATTCATTTTACCTGTGAGTAGTTTAGTCATGTTTGTGTTTGGAGTTCCCACCGCTGCAGATTTGAAGTCTGAATGAGCAGAAAACAGTGAAATAAGACAATATGACCACTGACACCGGAGATTTAAACCGCTGCTGCAAAATCAATTGACCGTTTCTGAACATTTCTGTWTCACATCAGTGAACAGAAAATGTAGAAAAATACTATTCAGTCAGTTTAAAAACATTTTTTTTAACTTTAAGACCACTACTAACAAGTAAATAGGAAAATGGTGAATTAATTTTCTTTTCAAAATAAAAGCCTAATCTCTTAGTAGAAGCTYAGATCTAAAGCCTCACATGGTGGTGAAACTTGTTACCTTATGTCCAGATGAAGAGACGTAGAGTCCTGTCCACACTACAGATGGATGTTATTTATAATATACTCATTAATGACTAATAGAAAGTGGCAAAGTACAGCTGATAAGAGCTGAGTGTGGTGTGAGGTTGACTAACATGATTAATAACCCCACTTCAAGGAAGGACCGATGGCCCAAAAGAATTGAGGAAYTGGATTTACTAGGAAATGAGCTGCATAATCAGCTGGGCTGCAGTATTTGTTCGGTGATGTTTATACAACATCTCTATAAATTAACATCATGAAACACAGATAAGGAATAAAAACAGGTTGTGTCTTGAACAGATTTTAGAGATTAAATAAAGCAGTGAACTTCCTTTTTGGAACAGTGATCTGTTTCCTGGTGAACACTGACCTTAGAGCATTTCATGAGATGAACAGCTGATCTTATTAAAGTTGTTTTAGATAAGCACTATATCAAGAAAATAAGCACTATGTCAAGAAAAAAAGATCAAACTCTGGAAATGCTGCAAACATTTTAGGTAGAAACATGAGCAGAATAATAAAGTTATTTGGTAGGAAGTTGGGTCACAGTTGTAATCCATCTAGTAAGGGTTAAGAGGTATATACTTTTTGTGTGTGTTTATCTGAATTATTGGTTTTATTTTGAAAACCAGACATCTGTTTGTTTAGATAGGAAGTGTGAATTATGGGAAAACATAACTAGCATCGAAGCTCACTCATGTAGCAGCAGCTCTTTTACACACGTGTTGAGGAGAGAACGAGAGATTAAGAGTTTGGCTGTGTGAAGAGGGAGCAAGTTAATTTGATAAATCATCCCATTCCCTGGTCAGGTTGGAGAAACTGAAGATCCTTAGATGGCAAGCCTCTCAGCTTTAATCCAGAGTCTCCACCAACCCATGCAGCGRATCCCCAATCTATCTGTGATATACAGTATTGTGCAGCCGTGAGTCTATCTCAAGAAGTGCACTTGAATGAACCTCTCTTGACTTTTTATTACTATTCCCCCTGATGTTTTTGACTGACTTGAACAAGGGTTCAAACTTGGACTAACCATTCAGGAAGGAAAATTAAACTTTCCAGAGAGTGTGTGTTTAGTTATGCTTATTTATAAGGTTTTGTTTCTACAGCGGGTAAAATAAGTATGGAACATGTCACCATTTTTCTCAGTAAATATATTACTAGAGGTGCTAATGACATGAAATGTTCACCAGATGTTGGTAACAACCCAAGTGATCCATACATACAAAGAAATCAAACCATAAATGTCCAGAAATGAAGTTACCAGCTGAACTCTCTCATTAATTAGAAAGCAAGCCTGCCCCTTGTCAGTGCAAGTTAATATCAGCTGGTTCAGTCCCAAATGAGGTATCAATTATTCAGGTGCTCCTCGCAAGATTTCTGATAGAGTGAAAAGAATTATCAGAAGAGTTGTCCAAGAG